AAGGATGGGAGTTTGGGATGTCTTAGAATTTACTAAAGTACGTTAGACAAGGGGCACTTGGGTGGCTCAGGGGCTGAGCATCTGCCTTTAGCTCAGGGCATGATCCCAGAGTCTGAGGATTGAGTCCCACATCAGGCTCCCCTTTAGGAGCTGCTTCTCCCTGTGCTTATGTCTCTGCCTCTCTCTGTGTGTCTCTCATGAATAAATACAATCTTTAAAAAATAAAAAAAGTGAAGAAAAATAACATATGTTAGACAAAAAACGTGAGGCTATGAAGAGGAATCAGCAGAACCTGAGAAGCAGCCACCAGCAGGGTAAAAAGAAAATCAGGAGAGCAAGGGCTCCTGGAAGCCAAGTGAATAAAGCGTTTCACAGAGAAGTGATCAACATTATCAAATGCTGCTGGTAAATCAAGGTAGATGAGGATTACGAAGTGACCGTTTATGAAATCAGTTTGACCTTGACAGAAGCAGTTTGAGTACAGTGACAGAAGAAAGTGGGTGACAGAGAATTAAAAAAGAGAGCAGCATACAAGTGACAGCAAGAGAATATGGACAATACAGAGTACATACAAATGCATGACAGAGAGAGAGAGAGAAACACAGTTGAGTGAGGGACAAAAGGTGGGTAACATAAGACAAACAGTGGGTGACAGAAATAAACAGAGGGTGGACGACTCTACCAGTCATCATTTATTGCCTCAGTTCCAAATTCACCCCTCAATACCTATTCTGTGATAATGGACTGAATTCCTTCAAACATCTCTCCTTTATGGTGAACACGATGCTAATCTTTCTCAGTAGAGGGCGTCTGAAAGACACCACAGGAGGAAGGGGCTCTCCGAAGTTCTGGCTGCTGCTGCAGGAGCAGGACAACAGAGCAGCCCACAGGCACGCACACACAGAATATGCAGTCCCTCGATGACCTTGAAGCCTCCACCTGGCCTGTCAATAACCTTCTTGCAGCCCTCTCAAATAGAAACCACCTCCCCTGGCAGCTTACCTGTGCCCTGGGCCCACATCTCTTCTGCATGTACACACCAAAGAGTTGCTGATAGGCTGCTCACCACCAGCACTCCAGATTGGCCTGGGCAAGCCAGAGCATTACTCTGCTATACAGTGGGCTGAACTACACCTTCTCCAATGAGGCCTGAGCTTCAGGCTTGGGGAGAGGATCCCCTTCCAACTTTGTCCTTCCTTGGTACTCTCCCTTAGCCCAAAGACACCATATGGAGTTTCCTTATTTCTTACAGTCACATATTTATCAATTTAATAACTCTTTATATTGAAATGCCGGTTTCAATATGCTGTACGGTTTCTACCTCCTGATTGGACCCAGAATGATACAGTGGCAGAGAGAAAAAGAGGGAAGGTGAGAGAATGAGAGTGGGTAACAGAAAGGGTGACAGGAACAAGGCGGGTAACAGAGGTAGAGAGTGGGTGACAGAGATCACGGATGACATACAAAGGGGAAAGGGGCAACATCAGGGAGGAAGACAGAAACAGAAAGAGTATGTGGATGAGACAGAATGGACAACAGTGTGGGCAGGTCAATGACAGTGTCAACAGATGGGCGACAGGAGGGAGAAGGGGGCAATAGAAGGATGTGGTGGGTGACAGAGACACAATGGGAGAGAGGGAGCAAGAAAATACAAGTGTCAGGGAGAGTGAGTGACAAAGGTGGGTGGCACAGAGGGAGAGAGAATGGATAACAGGAAGAGATAGGACAAAAGTGGGGAGAAGGGGACGGTGGGCAAGAGAGGAGGTGGTGGGTGGGGGGCATCACCAAGGGAGAGCATGACTGACACTGAGAGTGTGTGACAGTCACTGTATATGACAGAAGATGAAGGTATGTGAAAGAGGAAACGTGCAGAGAGTGTGTGACAGCAAGTTTCAAAGTTTTCTTTTGTATCTTAGGAGGGGCAGAGACATGAGGAAGGAGGGACAGCAAGGGGAAAGAGGAGAGGGAAGAAGAGAGGCAGAGAAACTATGTGAGAGGAGTGTGCCAAGGGGGACAATGAAGAGTGAAGAAGGTAGAGAGGGCACCTGGGTGGCTCAGTGGTTAAGCATCTGCCTTCGGCTCAGGTCGTGATCCCAGGGTCCTGGGATCGAGTCTTGCATAGGGCTCCCTGCAGGGGGCCTGCTTCTCCCTCTGCCTATGTCTCTGCCTCTCTGTGTGTGTGTCTTTCATGAATAAATAAAATCTTTTTTTTTTTTAAAAAGGTAGAGAAGGTGATGCTTTGTGCGGAGAGGTTTCAGTGTAGGCAGATTTGGAAGAGGACAGGAGAAAAAGTAGGAGAAATAAAAGAGAGATTGTGAGTTGATGGGCAATGAGAGACAAGAAAGGTGTGAGGGTAAAGTGAGATTGTGAGAGCAAAAGATGACTGTAGGGCACCTGGGAGGCTGTCAGGAAAGATCATGTGAGAGCAAGTAAGAGGTACCCATATGAGAGGCAGTGTTGGGGAAATCAATGCACTTGCTTGCTCAGGGAAAGGAGGGGAGGGAGCTGAAGGGCTTAATCCTTTCTATCCCCATTTTCTGGATGAGAAAATTGAGGCTCAGAATAGTCAAGTGACTCATTTGAGGTTTCCCAGCTAGCAGGTGGCAGAGCCATAATTAGTACCCCAAATGCCTCAACTCTAAAGCTACTACTCTACCATACAACACCACCTGACTGTTTTCCCCAAATCTTTAAAGAAGTCATGTAACGTAGTCCAAAGATACGATTTTCTTCCTCTGTAAGGAAACCTTTTAGCTTATCACAGCCTTGAAACATACTTTTAGGGAAGCCTGGGTGGCTCAGCTGTTGAGTGTCTGCCTTCGGCTCAGGGTGTGATCCCGAAGTTCCGGGATTGAGTCCCACATTGAGCTCCCTAAGAGGAGCCTGCTTCTCCCTCTGCCTAGGTCTCTGCCTTCTCTCTGTGTCTCTCATGAATAAATAAATATAATATTTAAAAAAAGAAACGTACTTTTATTGAAAGGGAGACAGAACTATTTCACTGCCCCCAATTTATTTATTTGTAGTATATCAAAATTTAAAACCTTCTGTGCATCAAAGGACACTACCAACAGAGTGAAAAGGCAGCCTACAGAATGGGAGAAAATATCTGCAAATCATATATCTGATAAGGAGTTAATATCCAGAATATATTAAGAAAAAAACAAGCCACCTAAAAAATGGGCAAAGGACCTGAAGGGACATTTCTCCAAAGAAGATATACAAAAGGCCACTAAGCACAGGAAAAGATGCTCCACATCACTAATCATTAGAGAAATGCCAAAGGAAAAAAAATCCCAATGAGAAATCACTTCATTATCATTTGAATGGCTGGTAACAACAACAACAAAATCAGAATATAACAAGTGTTGGCGAGAACATGGAGACATTGGAACCCTTGTACACTGTTGAAGGGAATGTATAATTGTGCAGCTGCAATAAAAGACCAGAGAAACGTTAAAAATAGGATTACCATGTGATCCAGCAATCCCACTTCTGGCTAGATATCCAAAAGAATTGAAAGCAGAATCACCAAGAGACATTTGCACACCCATGTTCAAAGCAGCCCCGTTGACAATCAAGAGATGAAAGCAACCCCAAGTGTCCATCACTGATAAATGGGTAAACAAAATGTGATATGTGCATACAATGGAATATTATTCAGTCCTTAAAAGGAAGGAAATCCTGTCACATGACACAGTATGGATGAACCTTGATGCAATTATGCTACCTGAAATAAACCAGTCCCCAAAAGACAAATACTGTATGATTCCACTTGTATGAAGTCCCTAGAATCAAATTCACTGGGACATAAGGTAGAATAGTGGCTACCAGGGGCTGGGGGAGCAGGGAGTGAGAAGTTGTTTAACAGGTAGTTTTAGTTTTGCAAAATGAAGAGTTCTGGAGATGGATAGGATGATGCTTTAACAACATTAGTAAAAAATAATAACAAAAGTAGTAATGTATTTGGGCAGCCTGGGTGGCTCAGCGGTTTAGCGCACCTGCAGCCCAGGGCCTGATCCTGGAGCCTCTGGATCAAGTCCCACATCAGGCTCCCTGCATGGGGCCTGTTTCTCCCTCTGCCTGTGTCTCTGCCTCCCTCTCTCTCTCTGTGTCTCTATGAATAAATAAATAAAGTCTTTGAAAAAAACAGATGGCTTTTTTTTTTCAGATGGCTTCTTTATAAAAAAAAAAAGTAGTAATGTATTTAATACCACTGAACTGTACACTTAAGAATGGTGACAATAGGGACGCCCAGGAGGCTCAGCGGCTGGGTGTCTGCCTTCCACCCAGGGCGTAAATCTGGGGTTCCCATCGGGCTCCTTGCATGGAGCCTGCTTCTCCCTCTGCCTTGTCTCTGCCTCTCTTTCTCTCTCATGAATAAATAAATAAAATCTTAAAAAAAAAAAAAAAGAAATGGTGACTGGTAAATTTGATGTATTTTATCACAACTGAAAAGTTTAAATCTCATTCCCACATCATCATGCCCCCCACCCTTAGCCATATGGTGACCCCTTACTCCTTCAACACGAATGTCTTCTCCTGAGGCCGAACTTTGTGGTTGGCCACTTCCGCCCATACTATGCCTCGCACATTATACCTCTTGCGGCACTTATCAAACATTACAGTGACTATTGGCTTACCTATCCCTCTCCACTACCAAATGATAAGCATTTTGGGGGTAGGGTCGGTGTTTTAATCATCTCTGCAACCCCCAGGCCTGGCATTTGGTAGACTCAAAAGACTCAAGAAAGGCATGATCAGTGGAAGTTCTGGCTTTTAAGATTTTAAGAGAGCTATCTGACCCAAAAAAAGAGGTATCGGGAGGCTCCCCAGGCTTTAGAAATCTGGACAGATTCCCACGCCTTACTCAGAGAACGCAAGGGCGCCTCTCACCGGGCTCCACCTCAGCAGCCTGGGCCGCTGGGAGGGTCCGAGGGCTCCCCCACTCCGACTCCCGGCCGGGGCCTGCGAGCTAGGCCCGCCCGGAGGCCCAGACATACCTCTGGTAAAGGGCGGCCTGCTCTGGGCTTAAGGCCGCGGCTTCCACAGACCCTCGGGACGCCTCCATGACCCTCAGTTTGGTTCCAGGTATTTCAACCGAAGATTGAATTTCGCCCGCTCCCGCCCTACGCATGCGCCGTGCGCCTCAGGAGAGGCAGGACCAACCGTTGGCCTCCTGGCTGGCCAATCCGCAGCGCCGCACTTGGCGCTAACGCCTGAGCCCGCCCACGTAGGTCGCGCGCCCGCGCTTACGCGCCCTGGAGCTAAGAGGCAGTTGCAGCCTCAGCGGAGTGGGACGGGTTCGTGTCCTGTTCCTGTCGCGTAGTCAATCCAATCCAAAGCGTGCTTCAGCACATTTGTGCCTGTGCGTGTGCCACCCTCGTGATTGAAGTAGAATGTCTGCTATGATCTCATTTTAGTGGCCCCTAGAGACCTTTATAGCCCACGCCCCCAAATTTCCTTCTTTCCATGCTCGCCATTGCCTGGCGCTGAGCAGGCTTTGAATTCAAACACCCTGGGAGGCATGGTCCCCATGACTTAAACTCACATTGAAGAAGGGTCTTCAAGAGCCAAGCCAAAGCTCTCATTTAAGAAATTAGTAGTGCTATAAAGCATGGTCACCATTTCTTTAGAAGCTCCAACTAGGATGCAATCATATTTTCAAACGCAGAGCTCAGGCAGGAGTCGTGGTAAGTGAGTTTAAGTGGCTTGCTTGGGGGGATCCTAAATAGGTTGTGGGCCAACAAAAATTGTCCTTGTTCTTACATTGTTCAAAACGGACTTTATGATTCTTCAAGGTACTAATTAACATTCAGTATTTGAAAACTCACCTAACTGACCCAGTCATGCCCACCCTAAGTCCTGAGGTTTTTAAGCTTTTTGTAAATTTCATAGATCATTAGGAGCTTAAAAAGGTATCTTCTGAAAAGAGAATATGGGCTATTTTCCTGGTTCACATGATGTTTAGTCATATTTTCATATGGCTTTAAGTCTTTTCTGTTAAGAGGGCTTTGGGTATACTATTATCCTCAGCAAAAACTGAGGTTCGGGGACATCAAGTGACTTTGCCTGAGGTTCCAAAGCTAGAAGATGGCAGAGCCAGAATTCAATACCATGTCTATACGGACAAAAATCAATGTTCATTCACTGTGTCCACTGCCTATTGCTGGAAAAAAGAGGACAGTAGTGGGAAATGAGGGTGATGAAGTAATCAGAAGCCAGTTTGTGAAAGAGCTTGTTTACCCTGTTGAAGTGTTTGATCACTTCTTTTCCTGGAGACAAGTTGGGATGGGGGTAGGTTGAGTGTGCAGGTGTGCTGGATACCCAAAGTATGAGTGTGAGAGAAGAAGGGCTGGTGGGGAGCATTCCATAAGAAAGGAAAAAAAGAGGAGCACAAAATTCTTCATCGCCAATTTGGGGAAGGCCATCTCCAGTTGTGCTTTGGCTCCAGGGTCTACCATCATCACTTCTATATCATTGGAACAGTTGAGCACTCAAAATGGAGCAAAGCAAAACCCTGATTACTGTCTTAGGCAGCTGCCCTTCTGTGCGTTGTAGAGAAAAGCTTAGAAGGAACTCCCTCAGGACCCAGGCTCCCACCTCCCTGTTTCCCAGCTGTCAGTGATCCGCCAAAGACTCTGAATACTGGGAAGAAAGGAACTACTTTGCAGCTTGCCTGCCCTTATTCAGCCATAAAAAAGAATGAAATCTTGCCATTTGCAATGACATGGATGGAGCTAGTGTATAATGCTAAGCAAAATAATCCAGTCAGAGAAAGACAAATACTCTGAGTTCACTCAGGTGGAATTTAGGAAATAAATCAAATGAGCAAAGGGAAGAAAAAAAGAAACAAACCAAGAAACAAACTCTTAACTATAGAGAACAAACTGATGGTTACCAGAGGGGAGGTAGGGGGTGGGTTAAATAGGTGACGGAGATTAGGGAAGGCAATTGTGATGAGCACCAGGTGATGGTGCCTAAAATACTAGAGTTGAGAGGGTTTTTTTGGTTTTTTTTTTTGGCATCCAGTCCAGAGTCTCAGGTGAGCAAACTGTCACTGGTAAAGAAGGAAGTGACTGGTCCAAAGTCACACTGTGACTCAGTGGCAGAAACAGGACTCAACCTAGGTTTGTTGACTCCTAGCCCAGTGCTCTTTTGAGCACCGATCATGGCACAGGAGGAGATAGGTAAACTGGGTGTCAGCAAAATACTGTTCATGGGGACTAAGAATGGAAGAGTGATTTTTTTAAAAGATTTTATTTATTTATTCATTCATTCATTTATGTATTTATTTATTTACTTATTTATTTATTTTGAGAAACAGAAAGAGAGAGAAAGAGGCAGGAGACCTAGGCAGAGTGAGAAGCAGGCTCCCTGAAGGGAGCCGGATGTGAGACTCTATCCCAGATCCTGGGGTCACACCCTGAGCCAAAGGCAAACGCTCAACAGCTTAGCCACCCAGGCGTCCTGAAAGAGTGTTTTTAGAGATGGGTATAAATAACCAAATGAAATCTTCCTGGGCAAGAACAAGAGTTTGGGGCAGAAAAAAGAAGAAAGTAATTTGGAAACAGGAAGGATTGAATTTGTGATTCCCAGGGGTGCCTGGGCAGCTCAGTCAGTTAGGCGTCTGCCTTTGTCTCAAATCATGATCCCAAGGTCCTGGGATCGGGATGGACCCCCGCATCAATCCAGCTCCCTACTCCGTGGGAAGCCTACTTTATCCCTTTCCTTCTGCCTGCCGCTGCTTTCTCTCTGTCAAATAAATTTTAAAAACTTAAAAATTTTTGTGATTCCCAGATCCCTAATTAGGCTTTTCTCTCGCTATTTCTAGCAAGGGTTCTAAAGTGGGTGGGATTTGGGCTCGGGGTTGGAGAAGAGTTCCGGGGACTGAGGTCTTCATCCCCTCTTTTTTTTTTTCCTTAAGATTTAATTTATTCATGAGAGACACAGAGAGAAAGAGAGGCAGAAGGAGAAGCAGGCTCCATGCGGGGAGCCCAACGTGGGACTCGATCCTGAATCTCCAGGCTCACGCCCTGGGCTCAAGGCGGCGCTAAACCGCGGAGCCACCCGGGGATCTCCTCAATCCCCTCTTTTGAGGGGAGGGGAAGGTGCTCCCCAGCTCTGCAGCCCAGCTGTGAGTCATCTCCAGTTCTGTCAGCAGGGGGAGCCGGAAACCAAGCTTCCTAAGAATGGCGGCCAACCTGGCCCCCTGGGCTGGGTAAATTCTTACTGGAAGCTAATCAAATCAGTCCAGAATGCTGTGGAAATGACAGGAACTGAGGGGAAAGAGGGAGGATTATCCGCAACGTTTTTGCACTGAATTGCAGTTTTTGGTGTCTTCTAAACCTGCCTCTAAATCCTGTAGGATTTGAGCTGAAGCAGGCAGGCACCAAAGGGTAAGGAACCATTTGACAGGGCAGTGGTGCTGGAAGAAACGGCCTTCTACCCTGTCTTTGAGCTACCTCATCCACTCCCCAAACCTCACAATTCTGTCTCTAGCCTCATCCTTTCTCCTGAGTATCAGACCTAGATGGCCAACTGGCTACCGGATGTATCTTCCTGGAAGCTCAAACTCAACATGGCACTGAACTCATCCCCCCACTCCCCAAGACCTGTTCCCTCAGTATTCCTCATTTCCATGAACAGTACTACCAACCCCCTCCCCTAATCGTTCAAGTCAGAAACTGGGAGGCATCTTTCCAATTCAACAATAAGTCCTGTTGGCTCTACCTCCAAAATATATCCCAAACCCTAACACTTCTCTTTATCACCTCTGCCACCCTTCTGGTCTATGCCATGGTCATCTCGCACCTGGCTCACTGCAATAGCTTCCTGACTTTCTTCCTGCTTTTATTTTGTGTCCACCCCCTCACTGTGTCTGTACCCAGAAACCAGAGTGATCTTCCAGAAACACCAACCTGACCATGTCATGGCCTGTTTAAACCCTTTGAAGCCTCCTCCTTGCCCTCCAGATCAAGTCCTGGCTCCTCACCATGGCTTTCAAGGCCTTCCTGATCTGGCCACTAACTGCTTCTCCTGTCTAATCTCACACACACACACCACTCTTCTCAAACTGAACCACTTCCACTTAAATCTTGCTTCACATGCTGTTTCTTCTGCCTGGACTTTCTTCCCTTCCTTTTTTTTTTAATTTTTTTTTAATTTTTATTTATTTATGATAGTCACACAGAGAGAGAGAGAGAGGCAGAGACACAGGCAGAGGGAGAAGCAGGCTCCATGCACCAGGAGCCCGACGTGGGATTCGATCCCGGGTCTCCAGGATCGCGCCCTGGGCCAAAGGCAGGCGCCAAACCACTGCGCCACCCAGGGATCCCCCCTTCCTTTTTTTTTTTTAAGATTTTATCTACTTATTCATGAGAGAGAGAGAGAGAGAGAGGCAAAGACATAGGCAGAGGGAGAAGCAGGCTCGCTGCAGGAAGCCCAATGCAGAACTCGATCCCAGGACCCCGGGATCACGTCCTGAGCCAAAGGAAGATGCTCAACCACTGAGCCACCCAGGTGTCCCTCTTCCCTTCCTTTTTGTCTCACTATCTCCTATTCACTCCTCAGCTCTCAGCTCAAATCTCCCTTCCCTTCTTCCAGGGACTTTCTTCCATAATCCTTCCCAATAGTCATCCTCTGGGACACAATGTGACACACCTTGCCTTTGTCATTGGATTTAGTCGATGGAATGTAGCTGCCTTGTTACCTCTGGCTCACCCAGGATCATGTGAGCTCTGTGAAGGACAGATCTGTCTTTTTCACATTATAGCCTTGCAGAGCTTACCACAGTACCTACATATAGTAGCTAATAAGTAAGTATTTTGGGATGGATGGATGAATTTGTCAATTTACTAGTCTCAAAGGAGAGCAACAGACACCATGTTGGAGAGCTATAATGAGGCCATGGGTAGGAGTGATACATCCAAAGCAATAGTGGAGACCATGAACCAAGGAAGGGGGGTGGTCCAAACATGATACCAGCCACACTTCTTGCCAGCACTTGCCAGCACTGTGCCTTTTAAACCTGCCTCAGGAAGGACCTGGAAATAGCACAGAGCCATCAGAATGACACCCAGGAA